TTAATTAGAATTTTTGTAGTGTCTTTTTATTACCTCAAAACATCGGTATTGAGCAGAGTTAACGTAGGAAACTTATTCACTTGCCTTTAGTTTTTTCTTTTTGGTTTTATATTGTCTTTATTTGAAGTGCATTAATTAAAGTTTACATATTTTTGCATGTAAAATTTTCGTATGCAGTATCACTTTTTATGAAGAAATGATACACTGGTTTAAATAAACCAATATTACGTTATATCTGTCTCCTTAATAGGACATGATTTAGATAATAATTACAGCAGCATAGTAAAACACGCTTACGGGTTCGCGAACTGTTGTTAGGGACCAGTGACCTGGAATGTGATTGAAACACAGTGTCGGCCAGATTATAGAATCTACCGCAGTTTAACGACCACGGGTACGCAAATAAGCGTGTTGTATTCGTACATATACTATGTACCTGAGCTCTTCTTGCTGCCTGCTTCATGCTGGTTTCTTGTTTGCCCTTACTCTTCAACCTTGAAGATGGAACACATGTTCCTACGAAATATCAGTTAACTCTCAACGGACTACACGGCGTTATGATAACTCTTCATAACTCTTGTACGAAACTCAGAAGTAAATTATGAGATGGCAAATTAGATGTCGAGTTGTTACATTGAGTAAATGGTTTAGTTCTGAGATCAGGATACTTGATCTTGAATTGACATAACAAACAAGATGGCCGATTTTAATATCAGAATTGTAAATTTGGGAATACGAGGCACGCGACCTTGAACTTTCTTCGGCTGCGAGAATATGTGAATTGAAAGTGCTTTTATGTAGACGGTTTTATAAAGTTAGAAGTTGGACAGTTTAGTAGGAAAATTTATTTTTAACCATGAGAAATTTGAACCTCAACTCCGAGCCATTACCTGAAACATGTGTTTGCTACTTTGGGTTTGTGAATGGGACAGTTATAAACATTAATGTTGTTCGTTTTAAGCTGCGCACAAAGCAAGAGGATGCTTGTAAAAAGGACACTTACTGTAAAGGATCACAGCAATAATCTGTTTTACAGCAACTGACCCTACCGGTACATTCTAGTTTTGTACCCACAAACGGATTTTTTTTCTAAACTAGTCTAGTTAAAGGTAAAGGTAAAGTAGTTTCTGTGTTTAAATAATTAAGCACTAAGCCATGAAGGCGTATGTTGGAGTGGATATATAGATCCACATTTTCTTGACCTAGGCACTAGCTCGATGTGACTGGTCAGCTTCTCGCCCCTGCCGCTTTACCCCCGGGGAAATAGCCACCGGTACTCATTGGGGCTCTGAGGCTGGGCCTCAGAGCCGGTCTGGACAACATGTATAAGACGAAATTCTTGACCCTACGGGGATTTGAACTCCGACCCCTCGTTCGTTCAGCCCGTAGGCAGTTGCTATACAGACTGCTCTATCCCGGCTCACTAAACTCGTCTTGTTACCAACATTTTAAGCAGAGCATATTTTTCTTTCAAACGCTTTCTAATCTAAAACGAAATCTTGTATACCACCTATATGACTCACTGCAAATACTTCCTACCTACATTCAAGACATAACAGCTTAAAAACACAGGGTTGAGGGGCGATGAAAGAAAATGATCTATAATTAACAACCTGGTCATATTTAGTACAGGATGATAATGGGAAGATACTGTAATTTTACAAAATTATTTTTAGAAGTAAGAAGTCTGTACTTATTATATAATTATAAGTTGAACCATTAAAATACAGTTGTCGTTAGTGATTTTGTACTAACATGATTAGCTCCGCGGCATGACTGGTGACGCTAAATAAACCATAAATAAGTGAATAAATAAATGTCTAGTAAAGGTAAAGCTATCCCTGTAACAGACTGTGGAGACCCATAGGGTTGTGAGAATTCGAGGCTCACATTTTATAGACAATCGGCTCACAGATGGCAGTGAGGATGTCAGCCTTGCGCGCCGACCTCTTAGCCCCCAGGAAGATTCCTGGTACTCATTTCTGTTAGAGGTTTAGTCGACCCCAGGGCCATAGTGCGGCTGGAAGGATTAGGTGAATTGAAAAATCCAGTGACATCGACAATCGACCCTGCGACCTCCCAGCTTGTAGCATAGTGCCTCAAACAACCACGCTACCGCGTGGCCCCGAAATAAGTATCCAGTGCCGAGGATAATACTGTGTGAAACTTACCCCCATTCTATAGAGCTCCGTGGCACAAAGCTTATTCTCTCTAGCTTAGTAACTGCAGTGCTAGATTAACAAATGCAGAATAAAAAAATCATACATGGACCACATTTTCCCGCTCCACCCTTAAATCAAAAGCAAACTGGCACCTTTGTCAAGTAAGGGTTTCTTTACAGAAGTATTTTTCTTGTTTTCCACCTTTACAAAAGAAGGAATTTTGCTCAAGCTGTAACGATTCTGACATATTCGGGAGCGCTCGGCCGGGAATACCTACTATCCTGAGGGTCTTCGTAGTTCTCCTCAGTCCTCCCATGTGAGGGGATATTAACTTGCAATTAATCCACGAAAACTTCTTCCGCGGCTTCAATTATTATTCCTGTAGGTAAGTCGGCATAGCAAGTAGGCTATGAGCTAGACGAACGGGGAATCAGGCTTAGATTTATGCCAGTGGCAATAGCTCTTTTCTTATCAATCGCATCCAGATCGGCTCTGAGGCCCACACAGCCTCCCTCCTATGCAGTGGGTACCGGCGGCTGTTTCCCCTGGGGTGAGCTGGTAGGGGCGTGAAACTGACCATTCACTTCCATCTAGTGCCGAGGTTAAGAATGGTGGAACTATATCGTACATCCACTCCCCCAGTTGCTTTTATGATGCAATGATTAGTTAATTAAGTACAGGGACAATTTTTCCTTTACTTTTAGTAAACCAAGTTGCATTACCCGTAAGGTATAATATTAATTCTGTTCATAATTCTGGAAAATGGCTTCTTTAAATAATATGCGCATATTATTTCGTGCGGTAACGTACATTTTAACTACATCCTTGCTACAAACGAGCTGAATCCCCCCCCCCCCAAAGTTTCTTCTCTAACCGGCTTTACTGCGTTAGTGTATTAATAAAAAAAACTGAAATAGGGAACGGTGAGCCGACGTGCGGATACTCCTTTAATTTCTATAATTTGAAAGTATGGAGTTCAGCAGTAAGCGACGAGAATCTTTGGTCTGGTCTGTTGTCATTTGTTCGGTTCATAATGGGATTCCAGATGGATTAATATTTTTCAAGTATCAAAATGTTCCTTTGCCCCTTATTTGAAATTGACTAAACGTATGTGACGACTAATCTAAGTAACTTCAACGACGGAAACATAATTGTATATTGCAATTGTTATTAGTATACTGACTGCTCCGGTTATGGACCGTGGCTGGCTGTTGTTTTCACGGTAATAATATTTCGGGTTTCGTAAAATGCTGGGAATATCTTGAGTAAAAAAAATACAAACTCCGTGGTTTTAGTCCGCAAGCGAACTATACGGACCGAGCGACCGTTGCTTGTCGGCGAAGTTAGTGCCAACTTTAGCGGATATAGGGTGTCGCGTGATCAGCGTAGCGGATCCTCACGGCCGTTAATTTCGGTGTTCTAGACTGGAACCGCTATTTCCTTTAAACAGCTCCTCAATTATCCTCACGAGGCTGAGCGGACCCCGTTCCAGACCTACTACTTCTCCGAAATTCTGGTATCTCAGGGAATCGAACCCGGACCCCTGGATCTGTAGCCAGGAGCTCTGACCACTAGTAATAGAGAGACTATTAGCTTCTCAAGAACTAGTATTCCATAAAATTAATTATAGTTATTATTTTGGAGTTAGTCACAAGAATTTAAAACTAACATTGCTCTGCTAATCGTGAACTACGTATATGAAAGAAAATTATATAGGATGTGGTTGCAACGATAGCCACAGTTTGTTGTGTTCACTATAGATATAATCGTGAATTCTGTGATAGGTTTATTACTTATACTCGTATTTGTGAACTGTGTGTTAGCATTCCTAGTTTATATTCTGGAGGTCCTTGGTTCAGATCTAGCTTTTAATAAGGTTTTCCAATGTTTTCCTCATTCTCTCTAGACAGATGCCTGGTTGGAGTACTTCTTCAGTATTTCTTCAGATAATTTAGTAACCAATTTATACACAGATAAGTTGTAAGGGTGAAGAGTGGTGATAAAACTGAATGTTACCATCTTCAAGGTACTACCCCAGAAGTCACATGAAATTAAGAAGGGAAACTTTCGAGACCTTCAGGATAATCTCTCTATCCCAAACACACCACACAAACATCCTCCCATGCAAGCACACATATGACAATTTTAATAGTTCTCTACAGTAGTGACATGTATGTTTCTTCAAGTGAAGAACATAAATTAGAATTGTATAAGAACAGACACTTCAGGAAAATATTCCAATCTATGATGAAATGAGAGTTTAGGAGAATATTATACAGCAGGAAGCTTTATCATATTATGCAGATCACCACCCAGTACTCCATATGATATTGAAACTTAGGAACTCACAGTTAGCTGGCTTTAGGGCTAGGAATTAAGTGGGGAAACGTCCTGAAGGACAGCCAGTTAGAGGACAGACTAAGATATGGGGGATAACAGTAAGACGTATTTTAGAAAAATAGGTTTTAAGGATGGGTTTTATATACAACCGGCTCAGGATCATATCCAGTGTTGGGCTATGTTGTCCGTAGTGTTAAATCTTCAATTGAGATGAATCTGCATCCATTTTCCATCATATCTTAACATTTACTCAGCATAATGTTAAAAATGGAAGTTTATTAATGCTAGTTCCTGGTGATGTAGTTTCAAATAGTGTACATATTTTTCAAGTGAAATTTTATGCTTGGTTTTAGAAGCAGAACAACTGCATATTCGCCCTTGAAGCAAATTCAAACAATTATATTTCCATAGGAGGATTTTAATTATGTTACATGATCAAATATCTTTGTCTGAAATTACTGTAGCTGCCCTAAGATAAGATATGTTTTTTTTTTACAGTTGTTAACGTTCGTGCCTTTGATACATTACGATTGTTCCCGTCATCTGCGCTTCTTCCTGTGCTCGGCGTTTGTACCATTGTGTGCTGAACATGTTAGTGGACCCATTCCAGCATGCAGAGGACTGTGTGAAGAAGTGCAAGCTGATTGTCAGCCTGTCATGGAAACCTTTAATTTCCCATGGCCTTCAGTGCTCAACTGTTCCCGGTTTCCTGTGAGAGAACAAAATGGACTCTGCATGCAGTATCCAAATACCAGTGAGGAGACAATCCATCCAAATAACGAGATTGGTGGAGTCACATGGGCAGTAAATCCTGCTCCAGTGCATACACAGCAGTGTCCACCCAACTTTGCCCGTGCTCGTGAACCAAGGGCCATAACCTGCAGTCCACGCTGCGGCCGAGATGCATATTACAGATCTGAGGATAAGCAGTTTGCAGAGACTTGGATGACTGGCTGGGCATGGCTCTGCTTTCTTTCCACTCTCTTCACATTGCTCACTTTCTGGGTCGAACCAGCAAGATTCCGTTACCCTGAAAGGCCAGTTATCTTTCTTGCCTTGTGTTACAACCTTCTGGCCCTAGCATATATTGTACGTGGAGCATTAGGACCTACTGCCTTCAGCTGTGTATCTCCTTCTGATGGCGGAGTGCCTTATGTTGCTGTTGATGGCCTGGAGAGTGGTCCATGTACTCTCACCTTCCTAGCACTCTACTACTTTGGGTTGGCATCCAGTGTCTGGTGGGTAGTGCTGGCAACATCATGGTTTCTATCAGCGGCAAAGAGGTGGTCATGTGAGGCCCTGCAAGGATTATCTACATACTTCCATATAGCTGCATGGGCTGGCCCAGCTGTGCTGGGTGTGTCTGCACTTGTCTTACATCATGTGGCAGGAGATGAACTAACAGGATTGTGCCAGGTGTCTGAAGGTGCATCTCTACCATTTCTGGTTATACCACATGCAATGCTACTTCTGGCAGGGTGTACTCTGGCAGCACTAGGTGGAGCAGCTTTGATTCAAGTGCGTCAAGCCATGAAGAGTGCAGGTCAAAGTACTTCCAAACTTGAGAGGCTCATGACTCGCTTAGGAGTGTTTGCAGCTCTATATGTGCTCCCTGTGTTAGGTTCCCTAGCCTGTGTGCTGTATGAAGCTTGGCACAGACCACGCTGGCGCAGCTTGGCACTGCTTGCAGCTCTTGACTGTCGTATTGAACCAAGCTGCACACCTGGACCATCATACCAGGCAGCTGCTGTAGAGGTGGCACTACTTCGGCTCTTTTTATCTCTTGTTGTTGGTGTGACTTCTGGAATGTGGGTATGGTCAGGCAAGACTTGCCGTGCCTGGAGCAAACTCTTCACAGCACCTCGCAAACCTCGGTTACATACATTGAACATATCCAGGAACACTTTTGGTACTGGTTCTCTTCATGTATCACGAGTCTGAAGTGCGAAGTGCAGCTTCATCATATCAATGTAACATAATTTTAGATGGACTTAATGTTGGCATTAGCAACTATGCATAATGTGCTTGTAATCTTGAATTTGAGCTTTTTATGTTTTAATAATTCAGATTTCAACATTAAACAAGGTCTACAGAAATGGAAGTGTGACTTGAATGGACTTAACTAGTCGTTTCGCTCTTTAGTTGGTTTGAAAATTCAGTTACAGTGACAAAATACTTTACAGCACTGTTGTGAACGTCTAAAATGTCATAGTTTTTAAATACTTTAATTCAGTCAGTCATTTTATTACATAAAATACTGACCGGAATGAGACACTTTGTGTTTCTTTATTACATTCTCAAGTTCAGACAAGATTGTGTGTATTCATCGTGAACATTAAGAGAATCTGAAAAAAAAAAAACTTTTAACTTTATAAATATCAGGCTTATAAATAAATTAAATGTTATGTTCATATGGAATAATTGTGTAATATTAAGGTTTGATTAATAATCTAAGAGTGACAGTAAACCCCTGCTAATCTGGATTAACTGAGGGAGGCATCCGGATTAAGCAATAATCCATATTAGTGAGGCAAAAGGCAGCCCTAAAAGAAAAAAGAAGAAGAAAAAAAAAGACAACTTAGAGCACAAATAATTGGAAAATTTAATGTTATAAATAGTACTAATGAAAATAAATAAAAAATGTCACTGTAGATCCTTTATTTAAAACTTTAATAAGAGAGTAGATTTATTCATTGATTGAAGACTCAGAAATTATATTTGTTTTTGCACGTAATAATGCAGTTTGAAGAAAGCTGTCAAGTTTTGTCTGAACAGACAAGTGGCTCAATTGCTTTTCTAAATGCCATGTGTCTTTTAAAGTGTGTACTCAACTGCGAACAGTGAGCCAGGATAGCATACTAGGTATAGTGACTGGCTACGGGCTGGATAGCCAAGGGGTCAGAGTTGAAGTCCCAGTAGGGTCAAGAATTTTCTCTTTTTTACATCATCCAGATTGGCTGTAGGATCCACCCAGCATCCTATCCGTTAGGTACCAGGGACTCATTTCTGGGAGGTAAAGCAACTGCGGTGTGAAGCTGACCACTCACCTCAAACTAGTGCCAAAGTGAAGAAAATGTGGATCTATAAATCCACTCCCCCATACACCTTCATGGCCTTGTGCTTAATTAGTTCAGCACAGGGACAACTTTACCTTTTTTTTACATTTACTCAACTGTGAACAGCATTCTTCATTTATCATATTTCAATCTGGATTATTCAGATTAACTGTAACTGGATCAGCGGGGGCTTACTGTATATGATTTCTTTAGGAATGTACTATGTATTCAGTATGTTGGCATAATACAAATTTTCATAATATGAGACCCAGCATTCACCAGCATGAGTGTAAATCACTGTCAGATGTGTTAGTGTGGCCACAGTCCTAAAAGGGCTGAAGGTTTTTGTTTTGATTTTTCTGTAAAGGCAAACAAACTGTCATACACAGTGTAACATAAAACTAAATATGTCAATAACACTGATCAGCATTGATTTAACACAATTGGGTTTATACTGTTTCAAATATATTGATGTAGATTACACCCTTGACCAAGTAGTGAAAGAGTTATATTGTATTGTTGCGTGCATAAAAGTTTCCTGTTGTGTTTCGCTCTATAATATTTATTTAAGTAAGACTGTCTTTAATTTTATGTTTACAGCTCATTTATTTCAGTTTAATGTTCAATCCCCCTCCCAGAAAATTCTTAAATGGGGCTTTCTTGCATGTTCTATGTGCAGGCAAACATCTGAGATTTTTGCGTAAGAACTTTATAACAGATTTGTTATAAAAATATAATTACTTTATATTATTTATCTGTTTATGTTGATCCAACTCTTAGGCTTTTATATTTTTTGGAAGTGGATATTATTGCTGATGTTTCAGGGGTACATGTTGTCTAGATCTTTAGGGTTGACCCTATAGATATAGTCGGTAAGTATCATATAAACATCATCAACAATGCCCAAATCCACATACTATAAACACCCAAGTGCTTGGGTTAATTTCAACAGTTTACCACTGTGAAAATCTAAAATCAGTAACTTTTTTCTTAGTACTTTGCCCATATTTTATTGGAATTATGCAGTGTGCTATAGAATTGCATGCATACAATTATGCTACTTGATGTGACTGCTGCCGCTGCTGTTGCTACTGTTTTGTATTTTAAGGTGAAGTTTTAAAACTAGCTGTACATTTTGCAAGAATGATTTTGCCTTAGTAGTTTTTATATAATTTCAGGCACCCATCCACAGAAACAAAAATTTCACCTTAAGCTATAATTTTAATTTAACTTTTCATATATTTGTATAGATTTGTGTTAATTTTTTTCGTAGTGATTTGACCGAATGGAGGCTGTATTATTTGAAGTAAAGTGCCATTTTAAAACTAGAATAATACTTAAAACTATTAAAGTTATTTTACTTGAATTGCTTATCATTATTTCCCAACTTTAACCACTTCAATTTGTCATACCACAAATATAATTACAAACAGGAGAGTAGAAATTTTCTGTGGCTGCCACTTTATATATCTATATTAAAGTAGCAGCAAAACTTGATGAAGGTAATGAATATTATCTAAGCTGAGTTATGCTCATTTATGTTTATTCTGAATAGGTATTATTTAACATATAGCATGTATATATAGGGGGTGGAAAAAATAATGGAAACCCTAAGAAATTGAGGAATAGAATTTGTCTTGTCTACATTAAAGAACTTCAGTTGGCAACACTGAATGTTTCCATTTGTTTACACTCTGTAGTGCTCGTGTCAGTGCAACAGTGACAGTGTTGAATAACAGTTTGTGTGAAAGAATCAGAAAATGGGAATATACAGCATCCCCTGAAAATTTGGTTATGTCTGCATAGGACAGACAGTCTCCAAGATTGATGCCAGAATTAAGAAATACCACTGACTCATTCATCTTGAACAGCCAGGCAAGTAAGTTATGACAGGGTACATCATCAATTTGGGATACTGCATTCAGCTCCAGGACAAAAATATCCTCTCCATGAAATTGAGGTATATGGATTGCATTATTATGGAGGTAATTGAATCCCAATCCAGGAACATTTTCAAGAAGGATAGCTCCTATTTAAGTCATGGAAATATCTCATCTTTTCTCTGAAGGTATATATGAGGAGTTCCCACTTTTAAGATTTTTGCGATGGTGTTTTTCAGGTCATCTAGCCCATGCACAATGCCCTTTTCAGTTCATGGAATTGGCCTTTTCAGGGCGTCAATGCTTCTAGAGTATCTTGGCTGCTTCTGCAGAAACTTATTTCTTCATGCTCCTGTGCCGCTTGCTTCTGTCATCTCTGTCCACCTCCTTCTCTAGACATATACATGACTTCTGTCCACTTCTGCCATTCACTCAGCACACAAACCAGCATCTTTAGGGGCCAACTTGAGGTGCCAGTTCTTCTCATGTGAAGGACAAATTTACATTAAGCAGTATTTTATATTCATTACCTCTTTTTACGCTACTTTTATTTTAGAATCTGTTATCTACTGATTTCATTCTTATTATGAGTAAGATAAAGGTAACATTTTCCCCTTGCTTCACTGTGCTGTGAAGGCATGTGGGGGAGTGGATGTATGGATCCACATTTTCTTGACCTTGGCACTAGTTTGAGGTGAGCAGTCATCTTGACGCCCCTGCCGCTTTACTCCTGGGAAAAGAGCCCCCCATACCCATTGGATAGGAGGCTGGGTGGGTCCCAGAGCCAGGCTGGATGATGTGGAGAAGAGAAAGTTCTTGATACTACAGGGATTCGAACTCCAGTTCCTATGTCTTCCAGCCCATAGCCAGTAACCATACTGACTGTGCTATTCCGAATTCTTATTATGAGTATATTGTAATTCTTTTACATGAACATGGACTGGACCACGCGGTCCCATTCTAAGCCTATTTTTTTTATTGCTAGTGGGGGTGGGACTAAGTACCTTGTACTGTGGTCACTTCTGGCCTATTGTACCAGCCCCAGATGATAGGCGAGGGTGATTGTGGCAATTACCACTGCAGTGTGCCTTTCTCTGACACTTTATATTTTATCTCTAATTTATTTCAAAACAAATTTTCTGTTCAGTGAAGGCAGTTAGGTTTTGATGACTTCAAGCTGCAGCCGTGGTTCTCTTAATCTCCCATAATACCTTGATTTCCCTTAATGTGTTTTTTTTTTTCAGAACTTTAAACCATTTGGTTAGTGAGAGATTGATGTACTGTATATAGAGTTTAATCTGTAGTTTCTCAGAAAGAAGCCAGTAAGTTAATAGAGATTCTGAACTGAAGGACAGACTGCACTTTTAAGAGTTTTTCCACTCGCAATTACATCACACAGCTGCTTTATTTGTTACTGTCATTCTGAACTATTTCAAATTCACCAGATCCTACAAATTTAATGGCAGTTGTTGTATAGTAACTATAACTCCGTGGAGATGAGCCCTTCTTCAGAAGCTGCCAGTTGTGCAGCTATTCAAGAATTTCCCAACATATTATGGAACCAAAAGGTTCATTACTGTGTTCATAAGAGCCCTCTACTGGTGCATATCCTGAGGCAGATCAATCCAGCCCCACCACCTCCTCTCTTTCTAAGATCCATTTTAATATTATCTACCCACCTATATATGTCCTGGTCTTCCTAGTGGTCTCTTTCCTCCTGGCTTTCCCACCAAAATTGTATATGAATTCCTTTTCTGCCCCATTCGTACTGTATGCCCTGCTCATCTCATCCTCCTTGACTCGATCATTCTAATTATATTGGCGAAGGATATAAGTTATGAAGCTCTTTATTATGCAGTTTTGTCCAACCTCCTGTCACCTCATTCCACTTTGGTCCAAATATTCTCCTCAGGTCCCTGTTCTCAAACACCCTCAGTATATGTTCCTCCCTTAATGTCAAAGACCAAGTTTCACACCCATACAAAACTGCAGGCAAAATTATAATTTTGTATGTTCTAATATTTATGTTTTCAGACAGTAGACAAGAAGACAAAAGGTTCTGGGCTGAATGGTAGAAAGCATTATCTGAGTTCAGTCTCCTCTTAATTTTCTCCTGAAATGTTACTGTCATTCCCAAATATTTGAACTGCACCATATTTTCAAAGGATCTGTTGGGTATCTTTATGTTGCCATCATTCTGCTCAGTATTCTGGTGGCAAGACAGCAACAGACACTTAGTTTTCTTTCTGTTTACTTCTAGATCAACATCCTTACTAGTATCATTTAAAGTTTCTGCACTTTTTTATGATATCTGTTATCTCCCAGTAGATTCACATCAGCATAAAAGTCCCATTTAATATCAGTCCCATCTAGTGTTCCTGGACCTTCCAAATGGCATTGTAAAGCAATGAACAGCAATGGTGATAAAGCATCTCTTTGTTTTGTAGAGGAAATGCATCAGAGAAAGTTTTACCTATATGGACTTTACTATACTTCATTTAACCACATTTTAATTGGCCTAACTAGTTTCATGAGTACCTCAAACCCTATCAGAATATAGTACAATATTCCCCTTCTGACCAAATCATAGACTTTCTTGAAGTCTATGAATAGTTGATGTACTGCCTCCAGTGTACTCCCATTTTTTCCAGTATCTGACAAATGAAAGATATTTGATCCATAGTTGATCTGTAATGCCAAAATCCACACTGATGATCCTCAATAATTTCATCTACATATCAACTTAACCTTGAGAGAATATTGGGTAAAATTTTGTATGAAGTTGGTAAGTGATATCCCATGATAATTACTAGTCAGTTTTTATCATCCTCCTTGTAAATTGATAC